CTACTTCTCTGAAACATTAGAACCCATTCCTGCATTTTATGACTTCTGTGTGCCAGGTTTGTCTCCAGGCATGAGGAACAGTTAATTTTCTAGAAAAAAGTAGTAAAGGAGATGTGGAACTTCACTGGAAGTAACTATTACCCTATCTATCATCAGAAACTGAGCTGCTGCCATGGATAGGCCCCAGGGGGTTAGTACAATGTAAGGCCAAAGCAGACTGCTAAACAGGAGAAATTTTTTTAAAAACTAACCCAGTTTCAGTCACTTCCTCTCCACCTTCACTGATGTATAGAGAAATATAGAGGATGACCATTTTTGAGCTATGACAAATTCTGATTAATGAGAAAACTGCAGAAGGGGAACACAGAAAGCCTGAGTCAGCACAGTGCAGTGGTTAAATGTTTACAATGAGCCTCAAAACAGAGTGTGAATTTTGGCTCTAACCGCTGAGCTATGTGTGTCATTGTAGTCCAGGTTCCTTGATCAAAGAAGGAAAAGTATATAAAATTACAAACATTTGTGGTGTACCCTGTATAAGTCACATCTCTGATTAGGTTTTCTCCTGCATTATAAGCATTCAATAACCTCAACATTGCCATATGGTAGAAATGATGAGGTACTTTTAACTGGCCCAGGAATTGGACTGAAGAAGTTAAGTAACTTGTCTGTGGTCATGCAGTGAGTATGTAGCTCCTCTCTCTACTTGAGAAAGAATCCAGTCCTGTGCTTTTCACTCTAACAAGGCGCCTTCACAGCCTGCCAAGGTAACAGCTGGATATGCTCTATAACTGAACGCTTTTTCTCTCTAACCCCTGAATTCCATTCTGATTCCAAATTAGTAATCTGTGGATGTAGAAGTCAGTGACATTCCTTTTAATTTAGATTTTTTACAAATGCATTCTTATTGAAGTAAAAATCAAACAACTTGGATATGTGAAAATGAAAACTATGATGGCTCTTCCCTCATTCAATCTCGTGCTTAAGACAGCATCATTGCTAACAGTTGTTTATCCTGCAGCCTTTTCTCCACATTTTTTATCACACACATACACACACACACACACACACACTTAGAAGATTTTTTGTTTTTATTTTACAAAAATAAATTCATACTAACAGTGTTCTGCTTTTTCATTTAGACTATTTTATATATATTATCATGTCAATACATGTGGATTTCAAAAAATTTTAATGACTGCACAGTATCCCATTATATGTATACTATATTTTGATAGTCTCATCAATTGATAAGCATTTAGACTGAATGTAGTTTTTTGCTATTATGAACAATTTTATACCTATCTTTGTAAGGTAGTTTTAATATTTCAGTAAGACACAGTTCTAAAAACTAGAATTGCTGTATAGAAATTCTAGACTTTAATAGATACTGATGGTTACCAAAAATGTAGATGTACCGATTTGTAAGTTATCAACTATGTATAAAGGACTACTTTCCCAGAAGTAAATTTTAATTAAGTTTTTAAGGAATTAGAAGAAATTCTTTCAAAAACAGAAATATGTGTATGTTGTCTAAACTTAAATGATTTCTCTATAATTTCCAACAAGTTTGCCTAAGGGCTATTTTTTTTTCTTAAGTAAATAACTATTGTGCTCAAGTCAATTATGGCTTTCTCAATTGGGGGAAAATACATACATTGAAAAGGAAGTCAGAAATGTTTACAACTGACATATAAGAGTAGGAATGAGAAAAGTAGCAAATACAAGGCACTGTTCATCATGTGATATGATCATAAAGTAAGATAATCAATCTATGATAGAAGACAATTACTCAGACTCTGGGATCAGAAGAACTCAATAGTACATTCAAAAAATATTTATCAAGCTTCTTACCTTGCACCAGGCTCTATTCTGGGTGATGAGCTATATGAGTGAACAAGACAAATAAGGTACCCTTTTTCATATGGAGATAGAAATAAATCAGTTAGCAGAACAGTTTCAAAAAGTGATAATTAAGTAGTGTCTTAAGAGATGCAGGGAGGAAAAGTGGGGTTTTTTAGACTTAGTGGTCAGGCAAGGCTTCTCAGAAGAGGTAATCTGAGATAAATTTTGAAAAGTATAAGCTAACCAGGGAAGACCTAGTGCAGAGAAAGAGACAACAGCTTAATGTGCAAACAGTTTGGTTTGTTTATGGGATGGAAAGAAGGCCAGTTGGGCTAGATTATAAGATACAACATTGCAGGAGAGAACGGCTGGGGCAATCAGGTAGGGCTCTAAGGCAATTGGAAGGCATTTACTTTTGATTCTAAGCCATTGAACTGTTTTAACCATGAGAGTGACGTGATATTCTTCAAATGTTAAAAGATCATTCTGGCTAATACACTGCTTGGCACTTGCTAACTGTGTGTCCTTAGACAAGCTACATTACTTCCCTCAGCTCAGATTCCTCATTAGTAAAATTAAGATAATAACATTATCTATTAAATTGAATAGACAGAAGGATTAATGGAGGCTACGCATAGAAAGCACTTTGTACATTGCCTGGACATGATAATTGTTCAGCAAAGGATTTCAACTAACTCACTATTATAGTATAAGATAATATTGAACAGAACTAAACATAATCCACTAGCCTCAGTTATCCAACATAATTGCTTAAAAATTAGTGCTGATTCTATATTCTCTAATTTTGAGAGGCTGGATATTTCCATGTTGAATCAACACTCAGCTTTCCTCTTCTCTGGCCTTAGTATACAACTTTGGGCTATTTACACATGTGATCATGTCCATTTGCACTCACACTAGATGATTCATCTTTGTGTGACCCCCCAGATCTCATTTATAAGGTACGCAGTCAGATATGTAGGTAGGTGTGTGCATGGAATAACAAACATATGGAGGATAAAAATCATTCAGACAAGAGTAAAGAAAGGAATGCTTCAAGTTAAAGTGTTTAAAAGAACAAATTTTTAAAATAATGAGCATATGAAACACATAACTGAAAAATTTCCTGCCACATTTATTTTATTTGTGCATTGATGTGATATTGGACACCATGCTGAAGTTGTAGCAGAACCAAGGCCTTTCTATAAGTACTTACTACCTTCCAGTCTTGCCTCATCTGTACTGAAAACTTTTAGCAATGCCCCGAGAAACATGAAAGAGCTACTTCTTGTATTTACCAAGGTACTAATAATGATGAGTAATAGAAATGAAATTGTGAGACTTGGCCACACTTTTCCCTTGCTTACCACTGCTTTTCAAATCATGCACTTACATCTATTTATGCACACACTATAAGACATTAGGAACATTTATTTGTAGGTAGGATCCCAATTTCTAGGCTTTGAACCAAAGATCCATAAGAGTTGTGGAAACATTTGTTCAGTGGTCCTACATCTAAATGTGAAATTGTTTCTCATACTTAAACTTGTATAATAGAAGAAAAGTTACTATATATCCAAATATAGAGGACCATAGAAATTTGAGAAATTACCTATTCAATTACTAAAAGCAGTAAAATCACAATTTAGATAAAAAATAAGGTTCTTTACTGGAGATTGTTTTATGATATACAAAGGCCCTTTCTATGCACTGCTTTATTTTGATCTTCATAATAACTCTCTAAGAAAACATGGCAGATTTTATATCTGCATTTTATAGACAGAAAAACTGACATACTGAGTAGTTGATTTACCCCAAGTCTCCAAATCATTAAATGGAAAAACTAGAACTCTCATTATAATAACACTTTTATCTTTTGAATACTTATATACTAGACTCTGTCCTAAATTCTCCATAGTCACCAACTTTAATTCTTGCAACAACCTTATGAGGTAGCTATTACTATCATCATCGTCACTGTTGTCATCTTATAGGTGGGGAAGATTGAACCCTGAGGTTAAGTAACTTGTTCTTGACTATTTTGGCTAGTAAACTGGTAGTCTTGGTCCAATAACTCTTTAAGTTTAACATTATGTTGCCTCTGGAGAGAGAAGACTCCTCTCCCGACCATTTCAGTCTCTTCTCTAATTGGTAAAAGAAGAATTCTAGCTTACATACCCTTCTATGAATGTCAAAGCAACCCAATCTGGGCGACCAGTGACTACAATTCCTCTTCAAAGTGCTTGAGAACCATATGCAAAGTGCCTAGCAGAGAACCTGGCACAATGTATGTAGCTGTCAATTACTGAGTCATCCATGTGTCTGGCATTGTGCTAAGTGTTTTTCTATATACATGCATGCCATAAATGTTAAAATTGTTCTTTTTTACTTGATATTCTGGACCCAAACCTAGTTCTTTGCAAATTAAGATGGGCAGTGGAGAAAATTTCTTTTTATAAAGGCAAAGCCTGGGGTACTACTGAATATGAAAGACTGTCGTACATAAGTTATAAGGAACCATTGCTCTGAACCTTGACCAGAGCCACATGCATCTAAGAAATTAAGGAAGTCAAGAACCAATGGGAAAACTGAAGTCCTAGGCTGGACTCACCATCTGTAGGAGATTTCATCTCCAGGAAAAAGAAAAACCTAACTAAGACATTAGAAACGTAGATATATAATCTTCCAAATCAAATCAATGAATTATAAATTAATTCTTTTCTTGAGCCCCTTTAAATATTATACTTTCTTGACCTTTTCACTTTAAATCTTTAAGAAGTAACAGTCAATTTTTAATTGATTTTTACGAAAAACAATCCTTGTCCACATAACTTTTCAGAAATCCACACACCATGCAAAATTACCATGCTGCTTACAGTAACAGAGAGGAAAAGGTAGGAAATTGTGAATATACAAGTAAAGCAGTGATCTGAGCTTCACTGCACATTCCACATCTAGTATAAATGATATTGATTTCCAAATGATGCTTTCTTTTATATTGTTCATACCTCCTTTCCCTGCTATTAGTACACAGAACTGAACGGTCTGCGTGCTTGCCTGATTGCACTGAGGGGCCTGAAGCACCACATGGAATTATCAGTCATGCCTTTAGGACTCATATCTACTAAAAGCCTGTAGTGAAACGATAATGCACTAACCGGTCTCCAGTTAATGGCAAAATAATGGTTGCTTGAGAAGAAAACACAATGAAAGATAATCTCATTTCAGGGCTGCAAAATAAGAAAAGAGGCAGTTAAAACATTTTTTAAAGAAACAGTGATACAATACAGATGCACAGCTAGCAAGTCTCCTTTAAAATTGGTCTCACTGAAGAGTCCAGGCTCCTTTTAAATGGAACTCCCTAAGTCGATAAGCTAGCTCTTCTTAACATTACCAAATAAGTCATTTTGGACTTAGTCAATGCTTCTCAGCTCTCAAATACACTCCACCGTTATCTGCTAGAGTTTGCATTTAAAAAGAGAGTATGTGGAAAGATAAGTTTGAGACTGATGTAAAATACTTTCATAGAAAATGCTTCTCCCCTTAATGCTCTACTCTTGAAGGAAGCCAGACAGCCTTTCGGAGTGATTATCAATAACCATACTTAGGGCTGGAGAGCAGCCAGTTTGACTTAATGGCCACAACTATGGTTTAAAAGTCCATATAAAATCTATCCTGAAGTAAGAATACTTAAACAGTGTCAGGGAAAACATGAAAGAAATGAACAAATCACTTTCTGATTAGACATTATTATTCTCCAGTCTCAAACATCACAATTCCAACCAGCAATAGTGGCTCCAGTCACCTGTACTTCCTCAGGCTTTAGACAGTTATCTCAGAATTGTTCTTGTTTCTAGGAAACTCTGTGCAAATATTACTATGAACTGAAACTGAAGATAAGAAACTAAGATCTACAAACTGAAGGTCAGAATTATCTCAAAGGCTTATTGAAGGCATCAGTCTCTTCAGTAGTCACCCTTCTTTCATTTCCTATGCATTGCAGTTAAGTATTAACTGAGCAACTAAACTTGAGCTAGAGAACTGTATATCATCAGATTCCAACTTGCAAACCAGACCACATGAACAAGAGCTGTACTTTCTTCAAGTGTTGCTCTGAAATGATCCATGGCTTTTGATCAACACTACATGACACTCTCTGCACACTCTAGAATTAAATCAGAACAAGTGTAAACAACTGTCTGTTCTGCTTTGACATTTAAGGATATAGGGTCTTGTTTATTTTTCCTTCCTAGACAGTTTTACCTCAGACCCTGTACAGAAACGAGAGTGTTTTCCTTGGGTTTTTAAGCAGAGGACTGATGATTGAACATGGACAGGCATACATTTTTATAGGGATAGCTTTACTGCTGCCAATAACTGAAAGCAAGGATTGCCTAGGCCTCTACAGATTGTTTGAAGTTACTCGCAACATGACTTTCAAAATGTTTTGATCATCCAAGCCTGTTTTACAGAAAACATTTGGGCTAACAAGACTGAAAGAAGCAACATTTAATGATACAGTTCCTATTCGTGTCCTTTCCATTATCTTGATAAACTTGCACTTGCTCATTGCATATTTTCTTATAAAAAGGGTGTGGGGTGAAGGCCTTGAAGTCTAGTGCCTTAGGGTTATTTTTAAATAGGCGATACCACTAATTTCTAGTTACCTCTAAATAGGAGAGTAAGCTGGATTTCATAGCAGTAATGCTTTTTATAGAGGGAAAGCAGTCTTTCCTAGTGACGCTTATTGCATATATAGAACAGTTAAATTTCAAACCAGCCACACACCCACACATTGTGTAAACACAGTCATTTCTTTAAACACACATACACACAAGAGCTTTTTCTAGTAGTGGGTTATTAACACATGTTCATTTGAAGTTTTCCAACACTTTTTCCTTTTAAATGAGGACTTCTACAAGGCTAAGAATTGTGTGGAATAGAAAATATATTATGGATACTATTAGCATAAAATTTATTTTTTAATGTGATAAATTATGAGAAAGCATAACTGAAACTCAAAACAGATGAAAATTCGAAAAGGAAAAAACATTTGGAATATTATGTGAAGATACTTCCCTGATGTGTGAGCCAAGTTTCTGGGATCCAGATGAAGTAAGCCCTGAGGGACAGCTGAGGGGCTGTCCAAATAACACCATGTGTGCAATAACCACCTTGAGACACTTAAAAATCAACATTTCAGGAGAGGGGTTTTTTCCCTCTGCAAACTCAGCAAAGGGAAACCCTACATTTTGGTCTACTTCCCCTCCACTGCCAAGAAAAGTGAAGTGGGAAAAAGTACCTCACAAATCTCTCCGTAAGTTGCTGGACAAAATTGTAGATTTCAATCCAATTATTTGCCACACTCCCTGACCTGAAAAATGAAATTGAACTGATCAGACAAAAAAAAAAAGCAAAATATTTTTTCAGGAGCACGAAAATGGGAATCCTGGCCTCCTCTTCAAGCAAAGCAGATGTCCCGAACTGAAACTTTAGTGTGCCCATGGCGGGGGAAGGGGGGGGCAGAGGGAGGAGGGGGTGGTGGGGGACTGGAGAGAGGATGTACCTGCCTATGACTTGTTGAGTAAGAACCAGCTTTTCAAAATAAAGATAAACGCCTTCTAAGGAAATGCAAAACATGTTGAGTATATTAAGGCTTTTCCTGGTTGCAGTGAAAACTCTGTAATCAGGATAAAACCAGGCAAACTTTATAGAGCCAGGGTGCTGTGCGGTTGTGGTAAGGACCCAGGGGCTAAAACTCCAGTGTGAGTCCTCCCTAGGAAGAAGGCTACCACAGGTGGCTGCACTCCCATGTCCCAAGAGACCCCAAGAGTAGCATGCAGTGGAAATATTAATTAGCTCTTGGCTCCAGTCACTCCCCCATCCCTTCTCCAGCCCCCACAGGAGAGAGCAACTGGGCACCCACGGGCGGCATTCCAACTCCAGTCTCCAGGGCGCGCGCACACACCTCAGCCTCCCCAGCCCTAGCTGATGCAGTGCCTCCCTCACCAGAGGAACCTGATCCCTCCCTGACACTCACTTGTCCAGGACGAAGTAGAGATCAAAGGCTCTTCTGCAGGAGGGCTGTTCCTGGGCGTGCAGCAGTCCCCCAAGGCCACTGAGCGCCAACAACCACAGTCCGGGTAACAGCCCGCTCCCGGGGCGGCGGGCCAGGGGCCGGCCCGCCACCATCCTGTGGCCAGGGGCCTGTGACTCCCTCGCACTCGCAGCCCCCTTGTTCTGCTGGGCCGGGGACGCCAAAGAGTCTCCAGGGACTCACCCTGGGGTGGGTCGTGGGGGACTGAGAGCAGCTGGGGCGCAGGCGCCTGCGTCAGCGGGACCCCATTAACTGACAGAGAGAGGGAGAAAGGAGAGAGGGAGGTCCTGAAAGGACAAAGGGAGGCTCGCCACCGCCACAGCTGCCGCCGGAACTCTTGGCGAATCCCAGTGGAAGCGCGATCCAGTCCTTCCCCTCCGGATTCCGGAGAGTTCCTGCAAACAATGAAGGCCCACGGCGACAGCTCGCAGGACAAGTTCCTCCCCGGCCTGGGGCAGAGCCTCTAGCGCCGGTCTGGCACCCGCACCGGGAATCCCGTTCCTCCAGGAGGACTGAAGTCCCTCCGCTGCTGTGCGCGGTCGGCGCCCCGGGACGCGGCGACACGGCACAAACTTGGAGTGGAGACCCCCCCTCTTCTGGCTCCACAACTTTCTTCCTTGTGTGGCGCAGCCTGGCTGGTCCGTCCCCTTTTAGCCGAGGGTGCTGAGCCACCCGGAGTCAGCGGCTCCACAGAAGCCACGCCAAGGCCGCGTCTGGTCTCGGGGTGGCAGTGCGCGCCCGAGGGCGGGGCGGGCCCCAGCTGAAGCCCGCAGAGCTACACACGCACACTTGTGGGTCCGTGCTGAGCTGGAGATGACTAACGCTTGCCAGATTTCAGAAGAGGGAGAGGACTTGAGAAAAACAAATGTCCTCTAGAAACTAACCATACTCGCAGATTCTGCAGGCCTGGCCCATTTTCCCAGCTGTGTCTGACCAACCCTCCGCATGGCCTGGAGACCAAAGACCAGCGATTTCCCTGGGGAGGCGATGGCCTCGCCTGCCCCAGCAGCATTCCACTCACAATCACACCGTGCCGCCGTGTTTAAGGAACGGAATTTTCTCTTTTTTTCTTTTTTTTTTTTCTTTTAAAGAAACCTATTTTGTAGCTGCAGCTCACCAAGCTAAGAAAAGGTGGAAAGGGGACAAAAGAGAGATGGTGCAGGTTCCCTTAGGAATGAAAAGTTGTACCTCAAAATAGTTAGTCCTACTGTCAATCACTTCCAGATCCAGCTATCAAGAATTTCATCTTGGAAATGATAAATGCTTGAGGAGTTAGATATATGTAACCTGATTTAAACATTTACATAATGCGTACTTATATAGAAACAATTTTTTCTGCTTTTATATATCGGCCAAGAAAATGAACTCAGTTGATTTTTAAAATAAGGACATGGTCTTGGTGCAAGCTAGGCTCCCCTTGCCAAACTTATGCAGAAGCTGAAGCTTGTTTGCAGTTTCTTTGCTTAATCATTCTGCAATCTCTTCACCTCCACCTGTGACTTCCGCCCTCCACTTGTCAAAACTGGCTTTTAGAATTTACAGTTTCACTTGGATAGCAATAATCCACAGTAATACAACATGGCCCCTCTTCTTTTTCATTTTAACAAGGACAATGCTTTATGATAGAAATTTCATATGGTACTTATATATGACCTTTTAGTATTTCTTCTGTTTGTTTCCATGTATATTTAACATTTCATTGGGGTTACCATTGATATACAACCAGATCTGTCAGTTCTTTGAGTCTACAAACCAGTCAGTTTAGTCTTTTTTCTTTTTTTTTTTTTTTTTTTTTTGACAGCACTGGAGTTTGAACTTAGGGCTCAGGTTGCTAGACAGGTGCTCTACCACTTCAACCACTTGATCAGCCCAAAACCAGTCACTTTAATAAAGGCTTATTGAATACCTACTATATACTGGGAGCGTTTAGTTAATGAACTGAACAAGATGACAAGTCATTTTTTTCATGAAGCTTGCAGTCTGATCTCCATTTTCAGCTTTACTCTTAAAACAGGATCAAAGCTACTATACACCTAGCAATTAACACCATATCAAAATATAACTAAATAAAATGTGGAAGGAAAAGGTCTGCCAAAAACTGTGACAATCAGTTTCAAGTTAAAAGAGGAAACAAAGTGAAGAAATGAGACATAACACTAACTGTGTACTATGTCCTCATGGTGAAGTATTTTAAACTCATATTCATTGGTTTCCTTTTTCCCTCGCTTCTTGATTCATTGCCTGCTTGTCTTCTGGACTCCACAAACTGATCTAATCTATATATGCATAGGCCCAAAATAAAGCAAAACATCTGAGTTCTAAAATTCATTTTCCTGAAAATTTTCCAGCTCTTCTAGAATTTTCAGTTCTTTATTCACCAGTTATTTTCTGATTGCAAAGCTACTAGAAGTGACTGACATACTAAACCATATTGTATTCTTTTGTTTACATGCTTGTTTGGGTAATGAGTTCAGCCTAGGTATAGATCTCTTTCATTTCACTCACTTGCTATTATAAGATATATAGTAAACCAGAAAATAGCCTCACATAGCACAGACCAAAAATTAATCAAATCACTTTCATCTAAAAATATTTGTGGATGACTCCTTAATTACTAGGGCAACTCAGCTACCCCAATTTGTTGCAGATTGGGATGGGTCCAAGGATGTGGGCTAGAGCTAAAACTGGGTCAGCCCCTCCCTGGGATAGTCCCTGGCAAATGAGACCACTGGTCATGGTTTCCAAACCATGATGAAGGAAGATGAAAGCCAGAGCAAACCTGGAAATCTCTCTAAGCCATGAGGAAGGAGTGATTATAACAGCTTTAATCTCCTCCTCTGTGGGCGAGAGGACTTGGCCTTGTGTCAGCTGGAACCCAGACAGGAAAGGTTTCAAACTGACTTTTGTACCATGTCAGTCATTCTGGAACCCTATTTAACTTTCAATTTTAAATCAAAAATGGAAAACGGAATGAAGATTTCTAGAGAGAAGGGAAGAGAGAGAGAGAGAGAGACTTTAAACTGAATTACTTAGATAATAATATTTCTTTGTCAAATTATTTGGATTTCTGGTGAAGTATTTTCCTTCACAGTTCATGCATGCCCTCCCTCTTTGAATTCTGTTATTATCAATTATTATTAACTATTAACAATTTTTAACTATTATTATTATTTTGGCAGCACTAAGGTTTGAACAGAGGGCCTTGTGCTTGCTGTACCCTACCACTTGAGCAGCCCTAGGGCTGGCCTTGGAGCATGATGCTCCTGCTTCAGCCTTCTATATAGCTGGGATTACAAGTGTGAGCCACCATACCTGGCCTTGTAATTATTTACTTATTGAACTTTATTTAACAGATGTTTACTGATGCCCACCATGTATCTGGTAACATTCTAAGCACTAGACTCTCAAGAAGTTTGCATAGAAATTAATTTATTTCTATCTTCCTTCACTCAACAAACAATAAGCAAAAAAAGGCAAATAAGCAATACTAATAACAGAAAAAAGTGTAATTTAGGTGTAAAAAATCAAATAATCTACATTATTTACAAGTAGATATCTTTTTATGGCATGCAGGATAGCAGGAATGACTCTCTAGAAGTCTAGAGCTATACCGGAAGTGATTCATATTCACTTCACATGGGAAGTGATTCATTGTATGGTTGTCTATGGTGATTCAGAGGAAGAAAAAAATCTTCACTACCTATCAGTGACAAATCTTATTTCATCTTTTATCAGGTATAGTCTATAAAGAGCTAAATCTCTACCTCCCATGTCTGAACTAGTTCCTGAGAGTGAAAAAAATGCTTTTGGAAGATACAATTACTTCTGAGTTCAAATTTTTATGTATGACTATAAGTGATGTCAATCAATGTCAGAGAATGATTTTCAACACCTGTATTTGGGATGGCACATATTTTCAACCTGGTTTTTCAGAAACAGATATGAGACTGCAATTGTATGCAAGAGGTCTATTGAGGCATGCCTTAGGAGTAAAGAGATGAAGGAAGCAGAAATGGTCAGAAGGCAAGAGGAACCATGATATATGGTGAAAGAAGACTCAGCCAACCTCAGTGGCACTGGAACCATGATGACCTTTCATAGGTGGCCTGGATCGAGTGAGGCAAGGGGGGTCAGGTTTTTTGTGTCCCTTCACAGATGGGTCATCAAATATGGGCTGCCACTTAAGGAAATGCATAACAAGGCAGCTTCCTTTGGCTTAGGGCAATTATGAGGACAGACGCAGCTGTGAGACGTCAGTGGCAAACTCTTATGGTGGGGGAACTGAGTGTCCCTGTCCTGAAGGAAAAATATAGGCAATACATCCATGGCATCCAGAGCTTCCACAAAAAGTCAAGACACCTGGGAGTTACTTTGATGGTAGTACTCTCCCATATTAAAGCCAGGCCCTCGCAAGCTAGCTCAGGCTTGGGCTGGCATCTGGAAAGATAAAGTCACATGACTACATCCCTTCTCTTATGTCCTGTACTGTATCCTCGATCCAGGTCAGTTTTCTTAATTCTCAGTGAAATCAGTCTATTAGTGTTCTGTCTCCCCATACCTCCTACACACTTCGATGTGATTAATATTCTGGAGTACAAAAACAATCATCTTAACTACCTACCTTGGTATTGCCAATGCAATATCTTTCCTAACAATTTAAGGGCCTCACATAGTACCACAACTTAACTCTATATCCTCACCTCTAACAAATCTAGCCTCATGATGAACAATATGCCCCAGAGAAACCATGGTTGTCACTGTTCCTCTTGCATGCACAGTTCCACCTTTGATTCTTATGTCATTTCTCTGATACCATGTTCCAGGTGTCAAGTGCTATCTCTTCCTCTTTTCCATTCTCTTATGGAACAATTCATGTCAAAAGCCACAGACAGAGTCAACCACATGGCTGTTAGGATGGAAAGGAGCTATAATAGTGCAGAGAAGGGAGTCAGAACCTGAGCAGACTGAGGAATGTCCCATGGTCAGGAAGAAGCAGCTGGGCACTGAGTATTTGGGCCTGAGAAGGGTGAGGAAGATAGCCATCTAGGAAGGTGATAGCTCAATACGAGGACTGAAAGAACAAGCCAGGTGAGGAAGTTACCTGGGAGTTGGGAGGTAACACTAAAGTGTCTGAGGGTAAGCAAGATGGGGAGGACTTCTATGGGAGGAAGCCCATTTTGGAATGCCTACAGCCCAAGCATGGACTCGGAGGATCATCCCAATGCAGCAGGTTTAACATGAACAGAAAAAGAAGAGATTGGCAAGTTTTCTTGGAATGTCAGAGCAACAGGGGGGTGAGTAGGGGTAGGGCAGAGTGTGTAAGGGATAAGAGTGTAGGCAATGCATTGGAAGAGGAACTTCAGAGGGGAGGTAGCCCAGAGTACAGAATCTGAACTCAAACTGGTAAGAACCACTTCAGAACAAGGAGAAGTTGGTCAAGGAAGTGAGATCATTCACCACAGGAAATCAGAGAAGGTGGGTTGTAGAAGGTCTTCAGGTAGGTGGCAGCCAGGTTCAGGTTATCAGAGCCTGAGATGGAAGTGAAAAGACTCATATGTGCAGAGAGAGGCCAAGGAAGCCTGAGGCAGCAACAGAGATTCAAGCAAAATAAGGAGGACATTCACCAGGGTAGGAGGCAGGTCAGGGTGACAGTAGGGTCAAATGCAAACAGGATGATGGAATTGGATTGGGGAGAAGACAAGAGTAGTGATAAGGAATTGGCTCATTCAAGGAGGATCTTGGTCTGTTAAGGCTGCTGTAACAAAATACTGTAAACTGGGTGTCATATAAACAACAGAAATTTATTTCTCACAGTTCTGGGAGTTGTGAAGTCCAAGA